CCCGCCGCAACCCCCCCAGCCCCGCCTTTCACCGCGACCCTCCGACCCCATCCTCCACCGTGAACTCTGACCCTGCCCTCCTCGGCGACCCCCGACCCTTGGCTCTTGTGACCCACCCCCGACCCACCTTCGCGTGAACCTTGGACCACGGCGACTCCCCAGCGTTTCCTTCTCGCTCTCCTCTGATTCTGTGACCCCCTCCCTTCTTGGTGACCCCCTATCCCGAGCTCCCCGGTGATCCCTGGGCTTTACTTCTCCCGTGACCCTTGACCCTGCACTTCTCTGTGTGTCTCCAGCACTTCCTGACCCCCTCCTAACTGCCCCTCCGCCAGTGCCTGAACCCTCTCTTCTTGAGACTCTCAACCTCCATGACCTTAGTCCCTCCCTTTCTGGATGGTCCCTGACCTTAGTTCCTGCCCTTCCTCCTCAGTGTCCTCTCTCCCAGGACCCCACCTGTCATGGCTTCTCCGCCCTGGGGCTCCTGTTCCGTGTTTGCATAGGTGGGATTCCGCATCTTTGGAATTGGTGCTTTACTGGCTTTAGCTGACCTGGCAGAGCATGTGGGGTGGAAGTGTCCCCCGGGACTGGCACTGGGCACCTCCTCAAGGATAAGCTGGAGGGAGGTGGTGGGCAGAGGTGGCCCCCGCCCCAGAGGTGCCTAGAGCTGGAGTGGGTTGAGGAGCAGACGGTGTGGGTGGACGGGGAAAGTGCAGCCACGCACAGTGCATCTTCGCAGCATCCAGAGCGGTGTCTGGGACGGGCCTGGGTTGGGAGCAGAGACCTGGACATCCCGGCAGGAGTGCCTGGGAGGCGTGAGTGGTCTTGTAGCATTGCCTTATCAATGTTCTGCAAAGGGAAAAAGAGACTGTGTCAACTGTGTCTGCACCAGCCCCCCACAACCTCTGTTTCTTGGGGTGCTCCTTGGTCCCTCCTGCCCCGAACGCCCTTTCTCCCTGCCCACTGCCCGACCCGGCCAGCTTTCGTGCCACCTGTTTGCACCCCATATCGGAGGGTGCCCAGCCTGGAGGCAGCCTGGGATGAAGCTTGCTGGCAGGCTGTGGGGTGGTGAGTGTTCACATGGTGGCATGGGGGCTGCTGTTGGACTTTAGTTGGGAACCTGGTTACCTGCTGTCAGGCCAGGTGATCCAGCCCTGAGCCCAGCCTGGTGGGTCTGTCCCTGCAGGCACTTTGGGAAGGTTCAAGGAAAATGGGGCTGGGCCCTGGGGGCCGCAGACCCTGGAGGGAAAAAAGGCCACCTGTCCGAGGCATGAGACTCCAGAGAAGTCCAGGACCAGCATCGGCCAGTAGATGTGAGGCCCTGCCCGTCCCCAAGTCCAGATAGCCGAACCTGACCTGACCTTGCACTTCTTGTTCACTGCATTGGGCCCTGCGTGCCCGGCTGCAGGGGCATCTATGCTGTCAGGGACCCTTATGAGCAGGGGAGGCCTAGTGCCCCGTCCTTGGTGCTGAGACCTGAGCCCATTGGGCAGCCTGGAGAAGCCACTGCCAGCCCGTCTGCACCTTTTCTTGCAAAACATGGGCTTTCCCCAGGGAGGCTGCAGAGGTGGGGGATGGCTGCTCAGGGCTGTCTACTTGGGGCGACTGGGTGGGTGGGCTGGAGAAGGGCAGGACCAGCGGGTGGTGCTAGGACCCCCCCCCATGGCCGGGGAGAGGCAGGTATGCGCCTTACAGACCCTGGGGAGCCTGGCGAGTGCAAGACACCATCCCCAGTGACAGCGAACTTGGGGATCCAGGGGAAGGCGCTCTGGGATTTCAGAGGGCATGAAGGCCCTTTGTTTAACTTTGAGCTTCTGTGCAGACTTCTGCTCACACCTGCCTGGAGCCGGACCCGCACTGTGTGTGTGTGTGTGTGTGTGTGTGTGTGTGTGTGTGTGTGTGTGTGTGTGTGTGTGTGTGTGTGTGTGTGTTGGGGGGAATCTGCTTGGCAGGGGGTGGAGGGAGCCCCAGGGGCCCAGACGAGGGGTCTGATTTCCAGGGTAGCCTGTGGGGCAGAGCACAGGAGAGGCAGAGGCACTTGGATTTGAAGTTGGAGTTGGGTAGGGCAGGCTGGGCCACAGGTGTGCAGCCCGGGGCCAGCTCTCTCCAGCTGCCTGACCTTCGGCCAGCCACCAGCCCCACTTGGGGGAAACTGAGGCTGGACCTTCCTGGCCCATGGGTTTGGTTCTCACTGGGGACGAGACCAGCCCAGGCTGGCTCAGCTTGGTTTGAGCAGAGTCTCAGATGCCCCTCCAGCAGGGGCCGGGTGGAAACGCTGACCCAGCACGAGGCTCTGGCCGCGTGAGCAAGCTGGGCCGGGAATAAAGAGGCCGCTGTGTACAGGCCCTAGAGGCTGCCTCCCTCCCGGGATGGCCTCTGCCTAACGATGCTTTTACAGCCGCTGGCGGGGGCGGGGATCTGCTTGTCCCCTGGGTGGGGTCACGTCATCGAAAAGTGAAGACACTGCAGGGCTGACACACAGGCCGGGGAGACCTCCCCCACCCCCACCAGCGCAGTTCCTGGGCACGCATGCGCCTGCGAGGACACAAGTGTGGTGTGCGCAGCAGTGCGCATACCTGGAGAGTGTGTGTGCATGTGTCACGTGTGTGCTATGTGCACTTTTGTGCATGCATGGTCAAGTGTGTGTACATGTGAGAGTGTGTGCGTGTGTGTTGTGTGCATGTGCGATCTGGCCTGGGCAGGTTGTAGCCTCTCCAACCACTTTTTCTGCAGCCCAGGGCCTTGTGGTCAGGCGCAGGGAGGGCCAGGTGTGGCCGGCTGCCTGGTGTCGCTGAGAGCGAGGTCACTCAGACCTGTCCAGGCCTGGCCTGCCCTGCTCGCCTGCCATCTCCCCCATCTGCCCAGGCCGGTGCAGCCTCGAGTTCTGATGCCTATGGGTCCCCTCTCCCCTGACCGGAAACCCAGTCCCTGTCCCTGAGTACCTGCTGCTGGCAGGTCAGTCCACAGGTGGGACCTTAATGGGGCTGAAATGGAAGCAAACTTCCTTCATCATCCCGTGCTGGGAGGTGTGGCCGCCCTGCCCTTGAGTGGGTAACTCAGGTGAGGGCCTGGACTGTGGATTTCTGCTGCTCTGGGCTTGCCAGGCCCCCTGGGGAGGCAGAGCTAGGACTTGTCATTTACATACAGCGACGTGGACAGACCTTGAGAACACGATGCTCAGTGAGAGAAGCAGACACAGAAAAACACAGTGTGCGATTCCATGGATGTGAAACGTCCAGAACAGGCCAGTCCCCAGACACAGGGAGGGGGTTCCTGGTCGTCAGGGGCTGGAGGAGGGGGCAGGGGTGACTGCTAATAGGGACGCTGTTTCTTTTTGGCGTGATGGAATGTTCTGGATTCGATAGAGGTGGTTCTTGCACAACCCTGTGGATGTATCAAATACCACTGAATGGTACACTTTAAATGGGTGAAGTGTGTGGCATGTGAATTGCATCTCCAAAAACAAAAAAGTGTTAGAAAGAAAGAAAGAGAGAAAGCAGGGTCTGGTCAGCCCTCAGATGCCATGGGCTGCGGCCTGGGGTGAGTGGGCGTCGGTCAGTCAGGCGTTTTCTGGGGCCCCACAAGGCGGGACAGAGGAGGTGTGGTGTCCACGTTTTAAGGAGGGTAAATGAGGCTCCCGTGGGAGTGCCCAAGCCCTACCTTTGTCCCAACTGTTCCTGCAGGAAGTGGTCTTGGAGGGACGTGGGCTCGAGGTACAGGGGTGCCTTGGACCGTGTGTGGGCAGTGGGAGGCCTGCTGAGCCCCTCCTGGAAACCTGGGCCCTGCAGGAGGTGGCAGATGGGGCTGGCTGTGTCCTGGCCCCCCTGTCGGTTCCTCTGCTTGGGCGGGCTACCCTCCCCAGCCCCGTGAGGCCAGATGATGGCGGAGAGAGGAGGCCCCCCAAATCCATCCATTTCAGTGACTCCCCCTGTGCCCATGGGGCAGGAAGGGGGTGTCCACAGCCTAGCCAGCGGGAACACAGTCCTGGGGAAGGCAGTGAACTTGACCCCAGCTGTGTGCCGGCGCAGGGGAGTGGGTCACCCAGCACCTCCCTTAGTTCTCAGGTTCCCCTTCCAAGCCAGGAGCCTGCCCAGCCTTCCTGGGCCCCAGGGGGCAGGGCCTGGCCAGGGCAGGTGCCCCAGGCTGGGCCTCAGTCCTTATAGGAGCAGATCCCCAAGTGAAACTGAAAGAGGCCCAGAGGGCCTGCCTCCGAGGCCTGCAGCTGGTGTGAGGGCTGCGTGCCACATTCCGGAAGGCGTCGGGCCGGGGGTCAGAGGCTGACACAGGAAGCAGGGACGGAGGAGGGAGGGCCGCGGACCTGCAATAAACGTTTATGGCACTGACTCACCACCGGGATGGTGTGAGTGTCCCGCTCACTGATGGCCCAGAGGTGCTGGGAGCAGCCTGGGTGGATGGTGGGTCCTCTACCCATGAGGTGAACTGAGGAACACCAGCCCGGGACCTGCAGTGGTGTGGGCATAGGGCCCTCCCTCTTTCGGCCGTGCCCTGTGGGTGTGCACTGGGTCTGGGGGTGCATAGGGTCGTCAGAGCTCAGCGGTGTTGGGAGGAGGGGGCTCTGCTCTGGGAGCTGCACAGTGGGGACGTGGGACCCCTGTGCATGCCCAGCTGCTGGCCCAGGCTGCTTCTGAGCTTGGCAGTCTCGGCCCAGGGTAGGGGGACCTCTCCTGGTGCCGCCTGGGGCATTTTGGGGGGCTTCATCAGATTCTGGCCCTCC